ATAACATACTTGATTGTGCGAAAAAATGGCACAAAATATGCCTGTAAATCACATAGTACTGCCCCTTTAATTTATTATTTAATCATTTTCTGTATTTTATTTGAACTATTACTAATGTTTTAACCAATGTTTTGATTTATGTTCTTTGGAGCTGCTGTATCAATCCAAAGGAAAATGCAGTCAAAGATCCCCAAACCAGGAAGATCTCTCGCTCTTCTGCAGGTTCTCCTCTAGGCTTCCCCATGGCTACAGTTATCTGACAACACAACTATTCACAGTACACACAGTTTACCGTTTAGTACGTGGTATCTGAAAGATCTCCTGCCACAGATAGAACAAGCCTTTGTTCTGGTCCTTCTGCCCAACAGAGACGCTCTGGATGATTCTGGAGTCCAGCTGCTTCAAGCCACGTCCATGCAGGAACTGCCCAGACAGGAGCCATATGCTAAATATGATGTGATGCAATGCAATGCAAGACAGACAAATAAGAGGTTTCTTCAGAAAATCACCAGGCACCTGTAGTGTGTTGATGCAGGAGCGGATGTCATTATCTGTCTTCTCACACAAGCACATCAGAGCACCTGTGTCTGCTTTCAGGCCCTGCAGCGTGGAGATCTGGGAGAGAAAAAAGAAAGAAGAGGAAAGTTTGAGCTTTAAAAAACTTGTGTCTTCATGTGAGTGTTTACATGTTTAAATACTGACCTCTGCCAATCTCTGAGAGAGGCGAGAAGGCTGAGTTTGTGGGAAAGCCAGAAGAAAAGCTTGTTGTCTGAGAGGTCTGAGAGCAGGAACATAACTAAAAGAAGGGGAAAAAGTTGAAATATGTAGAAATCAGACAGGAACTGATGTGAAACAGAAAGAATCTGTTAGTTCTGAGGATATGAGATCTGGGTCATGATGAAATTAGTCTGTTCTTTACTTAGCTCTAGATATTACACAAATCTAACGTCCACTGTACAAAAATGCAGAACAGATTCATCTCCATCAATATTTCTTAAAGATCAAGCTAAAATGAAGATCAATGTGAAAAAACTAAGTACATCCTATTAAGTCCAGCAGCTATATCTTCCAGCATGTTTGTCACATCCAAAAAGGGCAAAACCTGACACGCATTCAAACATGAGGGTTCAAACATTCTTTTTATTTAAATACTTTCTCTTGAAATTTTGTTGGTTCATCTGCTTTTTACTTTCTGTGAGGAAAAAAAAGAAAATTAGATACACTCACTTCCCGTGTCCAAACAAAAGCAAAACCCTAAAGTATAAACAGGTAGGTGGACCTGCTGATCATGTTGATCGGCTGATCAACATGAACAAAAAAGTACAGCAGGGGGCCAACAGAACACAGGGCCATCGAAGCCCCTGTGTTACCAGACTAAGGCAAAAATAGTCCAAAAAGAACCTACTGCAAACAAAAGAAGTCAAAACAGGACAACCAGTCCCACCGGGCCAAAATTACAGAAAAAAAAAAAAAAAAAGTGGTGGAGTGAGCGAAGAGAAAGATGGTATCCTAAAGGTCAGCCTATTTATAGGCAGGTACAGATCTAGACAAACAAACATTAATTACAAAATACATGTAATTAACTAAACTCCAAAAAAATTCATGTCTGCCTGTGACACAGTTGGTGCCAAATTCAGTTGTCGGGATAACAGACTCTATATGAAATACAAACACTTTTTCCTCTACAAAATGTTTGTATAAAGACAGGGAGTCAGGTCCTGCAGCTGCAAAGTCAGCCCACACCATCACTCCTCCAGCACCGTGCTGAACAGCTGGAATGAGGCGTTGGTCTGCTATGGGGCAATGCTACAGTTCCAGAAGGATACTTTGCTGTTAAATGTCATTGTTTATCTTACAGGTCATTACAGATGCAGATGATTGGGCGAAGAAGTACAGACTCCTTCTTCTTTTTCTTCTTGGCCGTCTCTGTCCCAGTGTCCCCACCGTGTGTGTCTTTCCTGTTCAGCACTGATAAAAGGATGTTGATGGCCGCCTGCGGAAGAAGGTAATGTTTAGACCCGCTCTGAGTCACCAGCATCTCTCAGTGCAGCCTCAGGCTGTTACCGCCGGCGCTCCGTCAATCTCGTCAATAATCAGGCAGTTGGGCCTCTCGTTGGCTCCTAAAACCGACTTCATCTGAGTTGCCGTGTCGATGCGTTTCTGGAAGACCTCTGCACTCCGATCGTCGCTAAGGGAACAAAGAGTACTCAAATCAGGATTAAGCTTCTTGTTTAACTCTGATGATGTTGAGTCCTGACTGCAGAAGGTCTGACCTGGCATTGATTTCCACCACATTGTACCCAGCATGCTTTGCTATGACATGAGCCAAGGTGGTCTTCCCTAAACCGGGAGGTCCAGACAGTAGCGCCACCTAGAGGGATAAACAAATGTGTCATGTTCCAAGTTCACATGATGGAAACCATGGCAATGGTGCAGCTGCTGAGTGTCTACCCGGTATTTGGGTCGTTTGTACTGGTCCAGTTCAGCCTCCAGGATTTCCTCAGTCATGTCCATTTTACTCTTGAAGCGGTTTGGATTCTGACTTCCCTGGCTGAGTTTGAATGGGTTCTGATTGGCTGATTGTCTGTCGGAGCGAACAGGGCGGGATTTCCTCTCCCTTCCAAACACCACGTTGTCCCACAGCTTCAGCCACTTCAGCAGACACCGGTTAGTGAACTGGAAGGAGAGAGCAAACTGCAGCATGAGCCCCTGAAACCTGAGAAGGGATGACCACACACAGAATGAAATGGGAGGGCTTACATCATCACTGAGGAGATCTGTGTAGTGACGCGGTGAGAATCTCTCCACCCACAGTTGGGATGTTTGTCCCTCGGCGTCTTGGGGATCCTCGTTCTCATGGTCCTCGGTGTTTCCAGAGTCAGTAAATGCATCGTTTAGACTGCTGCAGGAGAAGACAGCAGTTACAACATCCATTTCTCCTCTGAGTGTTCATGTGACAGAAAGGCAAGCGAGTTACCTGACCAGCAGCTCAGGAAGACGCTGTGACTCAACAACCTGCTGGTGACGCTGTAGGAATAATAAAAAATAAATAAAAGCAGCTGTTTAGAGTGCTTCAAAAATATAGAGTGTCTCCTGGTCTATAAGACTGAAACCTTATAATGTCTGCACAACTACTGATAAAGCTTTTGTGGTGTGAACAGATAAGACCTTGAGAACTCATTCAGACATATTTCCCACCATTATAATGTGACACAATTATTGTATAATTCAGCTGATAAAAAATCTATATCTGAAAAATCCGTTCAAGAAACAAAAGTATTAATAACTCTGAACTCATCCAATCACTGAACAGATGCTTAGAACAGATGGATGTGTGGATGTGCAGTTTTGTTTCTGAACAGAAACAAGTTATTATCTTTGGACCTAAAGAGGAGCGACCTAGAGTCAACGCACAGCTTCAGGTATTACAGCTAAAAGCTAGTGATCAGCCCGAAACCTGGGTGTAGTGATGGACTCTGACCTGAACATTCAGAGCCACATAAACACAGTTACAAAGTCAGCCTTCTATCACCTGAAGGACATCTCTAGATCTCAGTGAGATTCAGAGAAACTCATCTGTAGTCACATTGTTTACTGCAACAGTGTCTTCACAGGTCTGCCGCTAATCCAGAACGCTGTTGTTGGCATTCTCACTAAAACCAGGAAGTTAGAGCACATAACACCAGTTCTAAAGTCTTTCCTCTGGCTCCCTGTAGCTCAAAGAATAGACTTTAAAATACTGTTGTTAGTTTATAAATAACTGAACGGCTTAGCACCACAACACATTAAAGATCTGCTCCAGATCTCTCAGGTTTTCTGGTTCTGCTCTGCAACCCCAGACCTAGAATCAATCATGGAGAAGCAGCGATCAGCTTCTATGCACCACAGATCTGGAACAAACTTCCAGAAAATTGAAAACAGCTAAAGCCTTTAAATCTAGACTAAAAACCAACCAGTTTAGAGTTGCTTTTGAACCATAAATGAAACAGTGACCAACATTTTTATGTGTATGCATGGCTTTGATGATGGTACTCATGAAAATGTAATGTTTGTCACTGATTTCTCAATTATTGTTTTTATGACCTTTTATTTTTATGTTTTTATGATGTAAAGCATTTGAACTGCATTGTTGCTGACATGTGCTATGCAAATAAACTTGACTTATTTATTGATATTGTTATACAATTTGTCCATCAGTGTCAAGTATCTGTATTCTATAAGAGCAATACACCTAGACAAATTTCAGATGCTTTGTACTGGAAAGGTAATTTTATTTATATAGCACATTTTCAGCAACAAAGCAATTCAAAGTGCTTTACATGAGTTAAAAGGAAATACAAACAAAATAAACCAAAGGAAAAGAGGAAACAAAACTAATCTAATGTTGTTCTAAGCCAGTGGTTCCCAAACTTTTTCTCCTTGGCCCCCCCTATGGCTTACAAATAGGTGCCTGGTTGAACGATGTGTGTGAGCGAAGGGGGTGGGGGGTGGATTCTTAGAGACTCCCTGTTACTCAGCTCCGGCTCCAGACAAACAAGGGGGGGAATCAACTTTTTTGGGGGCAAAATGAATTGTAGCTGAACAGAGACAACAACACCAGTAGCCTAGAGGCTACTTGTTAACAAGCTTAAGGTGCTGTATTGATATTAGCTAGCTAGTCATCTTTTAGCTAACATCACCTGCATCCAACAGCTTTACTCAACTCAGTCTGTTAGTTTGGGGGAAAACTGTGAAAAGTTCTTTGCGTTTTGCTGGTTTGCTGCCATGATTCTAACACACCTGTGTAGCTCTGCACAGCAGCAGCAGGTCTCCTTCACTGCTGCACAGGTCTGAACCCAGCGCGAGCGTCGTAGCGCTCATGTTGCGTTTAAAGGCGGCTCGGAAAAACAGGTTACAACATGTTTCCAACGGATTAAACAGTTTTAACTGCTGATAAAAGTGACAGAGGACACAAATATGTGAAGTGTGGAAGCCTCTACTGTATCAAATTGACAGAGGAATAACAGAGTTGGCCATTCTAAGGTAAAAACCCAGCGCATACAGTGTTCATGTTTGTTTGTTTTTTCATCCAGACGCCTTCCCGTTCCTGCCCTGCAATGGCCCCACAGTTTGGGAACCTCTGTTCTAAAGTAAGTAAACTAGGTGCTCCTGTTCAGGGTTGCTAAGTATCTAATTCTATTTCTAAATGGAAACAAATGACTTGACTTTAGTAGAAAAGAAGCAGCACTTGATGGAAATGAAATACAAGAAAGAGTGACAAAAGACTGAATAAGGGGTTGGACAGACGGACAGATAGATGCAACTTTTAGACAGCAGGATATCAGTCCTGAAGTTCCTGTCTTTATTCAGAAAATTAAAAATGCACCAAATTCTAGACTTTTCCAGACTCTATCAAAAAACAAAGTCAAACTTGTGGAAAGCTGTTCCTTAAAAACCACTTTGTCCTGCTATGCTTTTACTGTAATGATCCAGTGGGAAAACCTCATTTCTGTATGTCCCAGTCAAATCTCTACCCTCTGTTCATACCCACTGGTAGTTTTATGACCTCACAGAGTTGCACTGATTGACTCACCCTCTCAGCCTCCTGTTCTCTCAGCACTCTTACTGGCAACGCCAGCAGCCCCAGTGCACCATGGGAGTTTGGCAATATTCTTGAGTTCACAGTCTGGAGAGTTGGAGGGAAAACCGGTGAGAAACGTCCAGATTTGTTCTGGAGAAGCTCCACGGACATGTAGGACTAATGCTGAGTGGATTACCTTTGTATCTGCTTCTCCCTTCTGTCGGAGGTAGACCCGATTTCCTGATGAGTCCGTCACACTAATGAAGTCTCCCTCCAAAGGCGGGCGCCTCAGAACACACCTGGATGGTGGGGGCGATGTGACGGGCCGCCTGGGTGTCCCTGGGATCTCAGCCAAGCCACTGATGTCCAACACAGCAGGAGTAGATCTACAACACAAACCAATCCTTCTCATTTCCATTTGGACATCCACCATGAAACTTTTTCTTCTGAAACTGAACTTCTGTCTGCCTCCTTGTGTATTTTTACGATCCCTACATTAAGTTCTGATACCTGAAGGTGTTTGACGGCTCATAATGCTCAGGGGAGGATGGAGGTGTGATGTTATCATCCTGTGACGGGTCGTTCCTCTCCTGAGTTTGGGATGCATTGAAAAGACGCTTCACAACTCCCGTATCTTGCTTCTGCCGCTTTGCTTTAGGAGCTGCAAGAATTTAACTTTCAATCAGATTACATTAATAATGAATAATAATTAAAGGCTGAACTTACTGCTGGGCTGATTATCCAGAAGGTGCTGTATGTCTGAAATGTCATCTCCCTGGACCTGTTTCAGACATTGTGCCGGCTGGGAGGTTTCCTCTAGAAGATTAAATTATAATTTGTCATTTTCTTGTTTCATCAATGGCTTATTAATTGTATAAATAATCTATAATAAATTCAAACTAGGAATACAGTATATCAAACAAGTGTTTTATCTTTAATAAACAGCTTAAAACTCAAATTGATTTCACAAATTGGGTCAAATGTTAAGGCTATCCCTTACAGTAGCTTTTCATAAATGGTTGGAATTTCTTGCCCATTTCTGCTGACAGAACTGATATAACCAAGTCAGATTTTCAGCTTTGCCTTCAAATTTTCAATGTGATTTCTTTGATTTTGTTTTAAACCGCTTTGTGTGTATGATCAGTATTACAGTCTATTGGAAAGAGTTGTTTTCTTAAAATATATCTAAATATATCTAGATATGCCTTAATTTCCTTGAATGTTTTTCACAAATCAGAATCTTACAACACCACAACATATGATGTGAACTTTACCAAATGGTTTAAAGCCAGAGGCAATGTGTGAAGACTTACGACTTTTAAGTAAGCTACTATTTTCTGAAAATAAAAAATTCTCCCATTTTATCCAGGCGTTTAACAGGATAAATATATTTTTATAATCCCCAAATGGCCTAAATATGAAAGGTTAGTCTGATCTGATTTACTGTCAAGCTGTGAGAAAGAAAACAACATGGTTATGAGCTTCTTTAATCAGTGAATATGTGATAAATATGTGATTTCAGCTCCAAGTCCTCTATGATACCCAACTTTAGTAGAACAGAAGCAGCACTTGATGGAAATGTGCTGCTTCTGCTGGGCTTAGAAACATCTAAGCCCTGCAGGATTTAGATGTTTCTCTGCTTCAGCACATATGATTTCAATATATGGCTGATTAACAGGCTTTTGTTGAGGTGCAATCATCTGAATTAGGTGTCTTCAATCAGGAAAATATTGTTATAAGTATGTTATAATACAAACTAAGCCATATGCTCATAGAATCAGTGTGATAGAGAGAAAATAAAAGCTTGATTAAACCTGCAAAAACACGGTGGTTAGTTGTTTCTGTAAACTTTACAGAAACACAACTACATAAAAACTCTAAAATATAAAACAACAATTTGCTTACTTTGCCATTAAAATTAAATTAAAATAAATTTACCATCAAATTACATAAATTATCGTTCACTTAATTAATTGTAATTAGAATCGAACAGAATAGAAGAGAAATATCCATTACTCTCCCACATTGTGCAGCAGAATAAAATTATGTTGACCGTAAATATTTGTGTTGTTTGGCTGTTTGCACTAAGGCTTGCTTTTATCAAAAGGAAATATACTGTGTCACTCTGACCTGGAAAGTCAAGAAGGAATTCGGATTTGGAGACATGTGGAAATAATAATTGCTAAAATGCTGTAAACACCCATGTAGCCATATCTTGAGATGCCCCAACTGTGGACAATTCAATCAATCAATCAATCAATCAATCAATCAAT